GAAGCAAAGAGTGCATCAATCTACAAAGACTAGGAAAATGATGATATGGGTGTCGACAAATGGGACAGTTTGATTCCCTCCAAGTATTCATAGCTTTGTATATACACCAGAAACAAGCAATGTGGCCACACCCTACAACCAAGAAAATCAATCAATCAATCAATCTCACAGAAACCATTTAAAATCAAAGTAACAAATCAATTCATCATACACTTACCTAGCACAACTGGTTTATACAAAAGTTCCCTACAAACAAACAAACCAAAAAAATCAATACACAAAAGAAATCAATTTACATATATACAAGACAATCCAAGAAATCATTTCAAAGTGATTTTTTTTTTAATAAAAATGAATTCTTGATTGGATTACAAGCAAACACAGCACTGAAATTCATCTGGTATTTCCTCAATTTGAATTTCTTCATGATCTTCATGGCCATTTTCCATCTTGAAGGATCAAGATTTATCGAATATGTTCGTCAGAGCTATCTGGAATGTGAAATGAGAGGGGTTTTGATATACAGAGGATGAAATAGGCTTTGGGCCCAAAAATAAGTTGGGCTTGGCCCATGAGAAATGGACCTTGGGAGATAATGGGCTTTTGCTTCTTTGACTTTAGTGATGGTTTGATAATATCCGAGGATTAAGTTTGAGATAAAATTTATACGACTAACTTTATCTCAGGATAAGTTTATAATGTCAACCAAATGTGCAGTATAAATTTTGTTCAGACTTAATCTTGGCATATTCCATTTTATCCCATTTAACTTGAAATTATTTTATTCCATCAATCCAGGGATTATAATTTTATAATCGTTTAATTTGCATACCAAATGACCCCTTAGAGTAACTCGTAGAGAGTATAAATCCCAAATAACCATTTTTTTAGTTTCTATAATAGAAAAATAACAAATTTCACGAAGTTTCTAATTTCACGGATGAAACTTACCTGGTTAAATCATGGATATCACTTGTAAATTTGTGAAATTCCATAATAATAACTATTTTTCATTAACAATGTCATGATTATTATCATGGAGCTAATTTTACATGATTAATACTATAAGAATAGGTTGGTTGGGCAATTTAGAATAAAACAAGAAGGTTTTGACATACAAGGTTATATTGGCTTTTGTCGAGGATCTTTCGAAACAATCTCTCTACCTCCACGAAGTAGTGATAGGTATGCATATACTCTATCCTCTTTAGATCCCACTTGTAAGATTTCACTTGTATGTTATTGTTTGTTCGTTATATTGGCCTATGAGAGTGGTCCTTAAAATGAAATGGGCTTTTGTTTCTTTAATTTGACGAGTGTATACCATAATATTTGGAGCAAAAGTTGGGTAAACCAAGAATATAATAAAGATCGGTTTGGCTTAATTATATTACGAAAATGGGTCTTAAATCTAACATAATCTCAAAATTAACTCATTATTAAAATGGTATGCTAATACCATCTTACCACACTCTATGAGTTTGTTGTTTCCCACAAGTCAAAAAATAAAACTTTAGAAAAAGAGAGCGATAATACATAAGTTCTCCCTAATCCATCTAGTTTTTATGATTAGAAATAACTTTCTATCTTTACTAATAAAAGAAAAATAAATATCTGATGAATTAATCGAAGTGCATTAAAAAAAATACCTAAGTAAGATTAATATAACCAGCACATTACCTAAACCTATGATTCACTTAGATTTGCATCTATTTATTCATTATTTCTTCTTGTTTATGTCACCATCCACCACATTATTTAATTACATTACAATTTGTGGTAAAAAATAATTCATAATTGATATAGAATAGTTTAACGAGATTATAGTGACACATTAACGATTTATTTTGATAATTGGGAAAATCATTATCCTAGGCCTCTTAATATCTAAAGAAAATTAATTCATTTACTTAATAACTTTATTATTCTTGTTATTTATTCTTTGATAGTCTAATATAAATCCAAAATATATATTATACCTCGGAAAATTGATTTAAATTGATATTTTTGGTAATACCAAAGTTTACTCATGATCATTTATCCTTTTAGAATGAGTTTTGAGTGTGATAACAACTTATTACAACAAATAAAATTGCAACCAGTGGCATAGCCACATATAGACCAGGTGGTCAATTAGACACCTTTCGTTAAAAAATTATATTATGTATAATATTTTTCATATATATATATATATTAAATCTTGGACATCCTCGACAAAATTTCTAGCTATGTCCCTGATCTCAACAATTACACTATTAAAGTGTAATTTTAATATAATGACTCAAACATTTTTAAAAGTACATGAGTATAACATAACCAACATTCTTTTTTTAGATCTAATATGTACGTAAAATTCATTGAAGAGCTTTTCAAAATTATATATACTTCATTCTTTTTGCCATATTGTTGCAATATAATTAATATCTTCTATTAATAAAACATTTAAAAACCTACGAAATGAGTAATTTAATATTTTGTCCATCCTCAGAGATAGATTTGGCTATTTAATTATCTTCCTGTTATAATACTTCAGAATTAAATATCATCTCAGCTCAATAAATTTAAACTGCACAAATAGTTAATTACTAGTAACACTTCATTAAATAGACTGATGCATGCCGACCCATTTGATTGTTACTTAAATTTTATTTTTGTGAAAATTAAAAAGCAAGCGTGTTAAGAGTGAAATTTTGGGAAATATAATGTTGAAAATATATGTAGATACAACAATTAAATTTTAAATGATTTTCATCAATCTAAATTTTTTGATAGAGTTACTTGATACGTATATTGTGGAAGATATCACAACACTCGATGAATTAATTAAGATACATATAAAAATATGCGAAAACTATTTCATATCTGACGAGCAGTCAGAAATTTCGAGAAGTGTGTTTCTGCTAGTAATTGAAATTTCATATAGATTTCACATGTACACTGGATGAATTATTTCCATCTATCTAAAAACTTGGTGATAAAGTTATCCGATATACATCTATAGCAAGTATCTGGTAGACTAGTCAAGATACACACGTAAATTGACCCAAATATACTACAAAATGCCACGTAACAATTACTTATGGAGTCATTTGGTATGTGAGATAAGGATAATAGACATTTTAGGATAAAATTTGAGATTAGTTTTATCCTATATTCTATTTGAGATATTAGCTAATCACAAAATTGAACTAAAATAGTGAGATTATAATATCCCATATAAAAGGTATGATAAAATACATTTATAGAAAATCACAAGCTTACATATTTCATCCCGTGTATCAAACGATTCCTAAATATATTCTTTCATCAATCTAAACCTTGATGACATAGTTACTCAATTCATATGGACTACTTACATATATACAGACACAATATATAACCATATGATAAATTTGTCGAGACGTACACAAATAGATAAAAACAATATTATCGCATATCAAACGTACATGAATAATTCATTTCATCAATCTGAACCTTGATGACAGAATTACTCAATCCATGTGATAGTACCTATATAAAGAGACATTAACCACGTGACAGATTAGTCGAGACATGCACAAACTGATAACAACAATATTAGTATTAGTACTACCTACATAAAAAGAGGTGATAGGAACAAAAGTCATGGTTCATAAAGGCCATGAATACTTTTAGACCAAAGATTTTTTCAAACAAATAGCTATCTACATCTGTACTCAGAAAGAGAAAGCATAAACTGTTGGCAGGAAGTTGATTAAATTTCACCATTAATGGCATACAGAGCCCAACCCACAAGATAACATCACTATACATAAAAGAAAAAGTCTTCTACTTTTGATTTAATATAATAATTAGTACACAAGTCAACTAATTATTTAAAAAGACGCGGATTCGTCGGTTATCACTCTCTAGTAAATGATCATCTTTTTTTACTTTTAGGATATTAGTAGACGATTTGATGTTTCGTTAATCGTTAGTCCCAATTAGAGCTATATTTTGCATAGTTTTTGAAATATTACATAAAGGTGGCTGAAAAAAAGATATTTGCGTAAATTAACCTAATATTTTGAGTAAGATTTTAAGTTTTTGCACGTATGATATTTGAGTTTAACTTATTATACATTACACAGTATAAGAAATTATAAATAATCATGCATTCAGGAAAAAGTATTCTCTTCATCCCAAATTTGTTGACATATTTTGCTTTTCGAAAGTTAATTTAATTAGTTTTATTTGGATTAGTTCAACTTAATATTTTATAGTTAAAAATTTAGATATCGAAAAACTATACGAAAAAACTATAAATTGCAACTTTCCTCATGTCAATTTGCTAAAAAAAGTTGTATTTTACAATGTATATCAAGGTTCACGTCAAGGGCAGCTTCGGTGAAAAATTAAACTCCCTCTGATCCATATTCAGTGAATTGTTGAGTTTTTTTATATATATATAGTTCAAAATAAGTGAACTATTCAAAATTCAAGAAAATTATCAGGACTTTTGTATTTATCTTTTATTTAATAAGGTTTTTAACTACGTCACATTTTCTACAAGAATAGTTTAAAAATAATCAAAAAAAAAATAGTACTAAATAGTAACACTTTATTCATGTACCATAAAATATTTTTCATAAAAGATGATCGATCATACCAATAATTCACTTAATATGAATCAGAGGATTTGAGTACTATCTATATAAATGACAGAGATACCGTAAAAGTCAAATTTCCCAGAACGAAATTAAAAGGCAGTAATGAAGTAAATGCTTGTGTTTGTGTGCGGGGGAGAGGGGCAGTTGCAAGAATTAAATCTTCTGCCCAATTAGAGAGCACAAGCATTTACTTCATTAGAAGGTGACAGTTGAGTTCAGTTCTAAGTTGTAATTATTAAGTGGACCTACCATGTGATTTTCTTGCACTATATAATAGGATCATATTGTAAACATTCTTGCATGCCTTGGATATTATTAGTAGTGTTCTCTTTTGTTATATAGGGTTTAAGAGTTGGAGTCATATATATAATTATGGGTTGTTTATTATCTGGTCGTAGTGTTGGGGTTTTAATTCTCTTGTTTGTGTTTGTTGTGGAAAGTTATGTGGTGTTTGGTGATGATGTTACGAGGGGAGTTGAAGATGATGAAAAGTTTCTATTTAAGCATCGTCGTTTTGGTGATCGTTTTGGTGGGTTTAAACATGGTGCAGGTCTTGGTGTTGGTGGAGGAGCTGGTGGTGGTCTAGGTGGAGGTGCGGGTGGTGGAGGTGGTCTTGGAGGAGGAGCTGGTGGTGGTCTAGGTGGAGGAGGTGGTCTTGGTGGTGGTGCTGGTGGTGGTCTTGGAGGAGGAGCTGGTGGTGGTCTAGGCGGAGGAGGTGGTCTTGGTGGTGGTGCAGGTGGTGGTCTAGGCGGAGGAGGTGGTCTTGGTGGTGGTGCAGGTGGTGGTCTAGGCGGAGGAGGTGGTCTTGGTGGTGGTGCTGGTGGTGGTCTAGGCGGAGGAGGTGGTCTTGGTGGTGGTGCTGGTGGTGGCTTAGGAGGTGGTGCAGGTGGTGGTCTAGGCGGAGGAGGTGGTCTTGGTGGAGGTGCTGGTGGTGGCTTAGGAGGTGGTGCAGGTGGTGGTCTTGGTGGAGGAGCTGGTGGTGGCTTAGGAGGTGGTGCAGGTGGTGGTCTTGGTGGAGGAGCTGGTGGTGGCTTAGGAGGTGGTGCAGGTGGTGGTCTTGGAGGTGGTGGTGGTCTAGGAGGAGGTGTTGGAGGTGGAGCTGGTGGTGGCATTGGAGGAGGTGCTGGTGGTGGAGCAGGTGGAGGTATTGGAGGAGGAGCCGGAGGGGGTGGAGGCATTGGAGGAGGAGCTGGAGGGGGTGGAGGCATTGGAGGAGGAGCCGGAGGAGGTGCTGGTGGAGGAGTCGGAGGAGGTGCTGGTGGTGGAGCTGGTGGAGGCATTGGAGGAGGAGCCGGAGGAGGTGGTGGAATTGGAGGAGGTGCTGGTGGTGGCATTGGAGGAGGAGCCGGAGGAGGTGGTGGAATTGGTGGTGGAGCAGGTGGTGGTGTAGGAGGTGGTTTTGGTGCAGGTGGAGGTGTTGGAGGTGGTAGTGGTGGTGGTGGTGGTGGAGGAGGAGGAGGAGGTGGTGGTGGAGGTGCAGGAGGAGGTTTTGGAGCAGGTGGAGGATTTGGTGCTGGTGCTGGTGCTGGTATTGGAGGTGGAGTTGGTGGTGGCGGTGGCTTTGGTGGTGGTGGCAGTGGCGGCATTGGTGGTGGTCTTCATTGATTAACAAAGTTTCACTCTTCTTGCATGCAATAATAAGCAAGGGGTAGTAATGCTCTCCTATTTACTCTTAGAAGTGCCCTAGGTGCTCTTATATCAAGTGGTTAATCACCTTTATTAGTTGTTATTCTTTGAAAAACTTGTTGAAATTTGGTATTCCTAGTAACTAAACAAGTTCATATATATCTATCATACATATATTCTTCTTTTGTTGTTGTTGAGTTAAAGCAAAAGCTTTTGCCCATCTTGTCATCATTAATAAATATAGTTCTATTCTCAAGTTTGTACGTATCTCAATTATTGGTCTTTATCAATCTCCCCTTAATAATATAAATATATGATAACTCCGTGTTCATCAATACTTAAGTAGACTAGCTAGTTCGAAAATGTAATTTTTCATAACATACTAGTACTTCGACAAACAAATAAATAGACCTGATGAGATAAAAATAATAATTAGACTATCAATATATATAATTCAAATCCTATTTAGTAAGTATATATACTAGTGTTGTTCGAATATTAGTGATGCATATATGCATGATAAATTGGTAACATGCTCAGGAACAGAAAATGATGACTAATTCAGTATTCCTAGAAGAAGTTTATTATACATACCATCATCATTAATTATTCATGATTATAATGAGTGATAAATATGTGTATGAAAAATACATGTTTTGCACACATTTAGTTTTTTAGTTTTATTTTAATCCACCTTTAGATCGGCGGGGGGTTAGGCATGATCCCTACCTCGTATATTAATAATCAATAACAAAACACATGTTATGAAATGCCTATCCTCTTCAAAAGTTTCAAGATTGGACATGTCCAATCTTTTACAAAAATTGACTTCTAGTTGAGCCATAGTTTTCTCAAAATGTAAATGCATCAAGTATGCTAAAGGATTATAAATAGAGTTCTCCCTCCTTTCGATTTCCTGAAAGTAGAAACAGAGGACTAAATAACAATCAAAACACATCAACATATCTAATTTCAGACATCTTTTTACTCCTATGGGTTAGCATCCTTGATAGGCACTCTAGAACCCACCAATGCTCATGAAAATCTGAATCGATCGGTCCTCCATTCATCCAATTTAAGGTATAGATAACAAGACAATCTTCACAATCTTCTCCCTTTTGTCCCTATATATGTTGGAATAAAGTAAGGCGGTTCACTTGAGTTGCTCAACCGCCTCTTAGTCTGATGCTCATGACGTGTTATGGAACCTCCAACATGTCGGGGATAGGGACCAAGTAAGACATAACTAGCAGCATATAGGAGCCGACTTGGCATCAACGGCTTCTTGCCGCACTTGAGTAATCCAATGTGTGGTTCCACACGTTCATTTTCAATATTGACCATGAAACACCATGAGTAGCAGAATGTTAAGGTCCAAAACTCGAAGTGAAAGTTTTGAATAGTTTAACGAGATTATAGTTACACATCAACAATTTATTTTGATAATTGGGAAAATCATTATCCTAGGCCTCTTAATATCTAAAGAAAATTATTTCATTTACTAAATAACTTTATTATTCTTGTTATTTATTCTTTGTTAGTCTATATAAAAATCCAAAATATATATTATACCTTAGAAAATTGATTTAAAATGATATTTTTGGTGATACGAAAGTTTACTCATGATCATTTATCCTTTTAGAATGAGTTTTGAGCGTGATAACACCTTATTACAGCAAATAAATTGCAACCAGTGGCATGATCACATATAGTCTTCATCACAAAATTATATTATGTATATAAAAAATTGTAAATATATCAGTCAAAAATTATTTCACGCATATAATATTATAATCTTGGACATCTTTAACAAATTTCTGACTGCGTCACTGATCGTCTCAAGAATTACACTATTAAAGTGTAATTTTAATATAATAACTCAACATGTTAAAAAGCAAAAAGTACATTAGTATAACATAACCAACATTTTTTTTAGATCTAATATGTACGTAAACTTTATTGAAGAGCTTTTCAAAATTATATATACTTTATTCTTTTTGCCATATTGTTGCAATATAATTAATATCTTCTATTAATAACATTTAAAAACCTACGAAATGAGTAATTTAATATTTCGTCCACCCTCATAGATATATTTGGCTATTTATCTTCTTGGTATACTTAAAATTGTAAAATTTTTAAGTATATATAATTCAAATTCGATTTAATAAGTATATATACTAGTGTTGTTCGTATATTAATAATGCATATATGCATGAATGCATGCGCACTGCTCAGGAACAAAACAATGATGACTAATTCAGTATTACTAGAAGAAGTTCATTGTTCATAGATGTTTTGCATTTAGTTATTTGAGGTAAACGACGAGTGCGGATAAATGTGGTGATGATCATCTCGGCATATGCGTTAGCGTCCTTGACAGGCACTTTAAAATTCATCAACGCTCATGAAAATCCAAATTATTGGTCGGTCCTCCATTCATTCGATCGGAGATATAGATAATAAATTTATCTTCACAAACTTCTCCCTTCTATCCATATGTTGAAATAAGGTAAGGTGGTTTGCTTGAGTTTGACAAAATCAACAGCATAGGCTGGAAAACATCAGGCTTCCTCCATTGATGGAGGTTTGAAGCTCACGAGAGAATATTCAGAGAGAGAGAAAGTGGAAAGATATTATTGAGAATCAAAAACTGAAAATAAACAATACAGGGTATTGTGTATATATATACACATTGTTCAACTAACCAACTTGTTCTGACACAATAACAAACTTAACCAACTGATTTTGTGAACTCAACTAATTCTATGAACTCTAAAGCTAAATGTGATGAATTAAACTAATTACAAACTAATTGTAATCTCATCACCCCCACTCAAGTTGGAGGTGAGCTAAACACAGAGAACTTGCCCAAAAGTGTAGCATGCTTAACACCAGTTAAGGCTTTGGTGAAAACATCTGCCAATTGAGAGCCTGTAGGAATGTGTCGAAGTGTGATCAGGCCTTGTTGGAGCTTGGTTCTGACAAAGTGACAGTCGACCTCTATGTGCTTAGTTCTCTCATGAAAAACTGGGTTCTTAGCTATGTGGACTGCTGCCTGACTATCACAGAAAACAGGTATAGGCAAGGAACATTGCACTGTCATCTCATCAAGCAACCTTTCAAGCCATACCAATTCACCCACTACTTGTCTCACAACTCTGTACTCAGCTTCTGCAGAAGATAAAGAGACTGTGGCTTGTTTCTTGGACTTCCAACTAATGAGACTATCACCCATGAGGACCAGGTAACCACTAACTGACTTCCTTGAATCAGGACAAGTAGCCCAATCGGAATCACAAAAAGCATTGACAGTGAGGTCAGGTTTAGTGGAAACAAAAACTCCTAAAGTAGGATCTTGTTTGAGATATCTTAGAACATGGTAAGCAGCCTTCAAATAAGGTCTCTGGGTGACTACATGAACTGGCTGAGGTGCTGGACACTATATGCTATATCCATTCTTGTGTTGGAGAGAAAATTGAGCTTGTCGACCAACTTTTGATAGTGAGTAGGATCCAATAAATAACGTGCCTTCTGTGGCTTTTAGTTTCTCAACAGGATCAAGTAGTGAAGTAGTGGTCTTGCAGTCAAGTAAATCGAACTCCTTCAGGAGGTCAAGAGTAAACTTTCTTTGTGAAATGAGGACACCATCAAGTCTATATAGTATTTCCAATCCCAGAAAAAAATGTAGTTTCCCCAAGTCCTTTATTCTAAACTGATCATGCAAGAAAGCCTTCAAAGAGGCAATTTCCTCAAAGTCAGTCCCAGTCAAGATGATATCGTCAACATATACAGCAACATATATTAGTGAGCACCCTTTTTTCTTATAAAACAGTGAATAGTCACCGTTTGAATGAGTGTACCCCTTTGAGCAGAGGTTGCTAGCTAATTTGTCATATCACTGCCTGCTAGCTTGTTTCAACCCATACAATGACTTCTTCAATCTGCAAACCATGTCTTTACCATCTATTGCAAGTCCTTGTGGCAATGTCATGAAGACCTCCTCATTCAAGTCACCATGAAGGAAGGCATTATTAACATCTAACTGATACAAGTTCCAACCTTTCTTAACAGCTAAGGAAATAAGAGTCCTTACAGTAGTCATTTTCACTACAGGTGAAAAGGTCTCATTGTAGTCTATGCCAGCCTGCTGTGTGTACCCTTTCACTACCAATATTGCCTTGAATCTCTCTATACTTCCATCTGCCTTGTATTTAATTTTATACACCCATCTGCACCTAATGGCATGCTTGCCTTTAGGCAAAGGGACCAGTTCCCATGTGTCATTTGCATACAAAGCATCAAATTCTTGTGTCATTGCCATTTGCCATGCAGGGTTTAGGATTGCTTCTTCATAAGAGGAAGGTTCACTGTCATGTGAAATGGTATGAACTAGTTGCTGACTCTTGGGACATAGGGAGGTTAAACAGACATAGTCATGATTAGACATAAATGAGGTAAGGGAATGTAGTGGAGCAGAGGTATCAGTGTTAGAAGTGGAAGGATGCAGTTTAGGCAAGGTGTAGTTGTATTCTTTTAGGTAGGAGGGGGTGTGAATGGACCTGGTTGTCCTTCTAGGTTCTTGTGGAGCAGCACTATGTGAGAGTGTGGGAGCAATTTCAGGCTATGTACATGGATTCAGTGTAATTTCAGTATCATTATTATTAGTGGACACATGATCATGAGTAACTCTTAGTGATGCATGACAATTCAACACTTCATCATGAACAAAAGTATTATTTGTACCAGGTACACTGGGCAATTTATCAAAATGATGGACAAGTGAATTTATGACAGAATTAAAACTTGAATTGACAGTGTTGTGCCGTAATTTTATTGTATTCAGAAAAATCACTTTTTGAAATATTCTAAGTATAAAACAATTTGAGAAAAATACTTAGAAAAGAGTCGCCACTTAATTTTTAAAGAAATTAAGAAAACTTATAATTTTCAGAGATTTAAACAGAAAAAATCATTTGAAAATATCAAAGAAGGTTCGAGGTTCAATTTACACTTCGAGAAGGGTTTAAGCATTCGAAGTCCCCGCTAACATGCGGTTGACCTGCGACTTGACTAAAATATATTTGACTATTTTTAGAAAAAATAATTTAACATAAAAATATATAATAATTTACACTATTCGATTAAGTTTGAAAAATAACTAAGGAATGAACCATTTTTATTCTATCTTTTTAGAGGAAGAGACCTAAAATGAAAATATCTGAATTAAGGTGCAAGTAATTAGAAAATTAATAAAACTAGACTAATTAGAATTTATTTAGTTCATTTTAAAATAAATTAACCCAATTTAATAAATTAAAGTATGAAAAATCATTTTTGAATTAATTGACTAACCTTTTTGAGAAAATAACTAAGTATTTATTTATTTATTTACACTATTAGATTAACTTTGAGAAAATAGTTAAACAAAGAGCGATTTATTTATTTTTAGAAAAAAAAATGGGACCTTAATTGAAATATTTGAATTAGCGACAAGTAATAAGAATTTTAACGAAACTAAATTAGTTGGTTTCTATTTGAGTCATTTTTTGGTTTATGAAAAAAAACTATTTTAAACTACAAAAAAAGTTTTTGACTAGAGATTATAAATGAAAGTACGAGAGTTGATAAAATGAGATTTGTAAAAAAAATAAAACAACACAGAGAAATAGTTCGCCTTTTAGGGAATTCGATTAAGTTAATTAACAATTCTAAAGTTAGAGTTAATAACAACAAACAATAAATAATTATAATTAAATAATTTAAGAATAACGGAGAGAAGTTGAATTCGGGCCCCCTTTTGGGCCAATTTCGTTGGTATCTTTGGAGTTTAACACAATTCCCCTTTTTGGTATACAACTGATGTATATCAGTGTATATCGGCATGTATATCAGCCCTTTTCATGTATTTCTTGCTTTCAAACACCTGTATTTCACTCCAGACCTGTATTCCTGCGTTTTTGACCTGTAATCTGTATTTTCCGATTGTATATCAGTGTATACAGAGGGTATATCAGTCCCTTTTTTTTTTTTTTTTTAACTTTCTGTTGTCTGAAAATTCAATTTTCAGCCCCCCTATATACCGTCTTCAACCTGTACACCAGTTTCACAATTCGACATGGGGGCTGACTCGAGAGAAGAGAGGAATATTGGGACCTTTATGGCCCGTCCGAAATGCACAAGGGGAAACTTGAGTCCAAGTGACCCAAGTTGGCATCACATGACAAGGTGAAAGAAAGAAATATTAGCGTCTAACTTGCAACGACTAAATCAATTAAGAAAATTGAACATTTAAAATGCCAAATCCCAACGTTCCCCAAATGGCCAGTGTCTTACTACACTTAAATATTGATAAACACCTATGAATTAAAAAAGAGAAAGAAGACAAAATGGTTTATGATGAAGTCCAACAAAACAATATTGGCGTACAAGTTTAAGAAGACAAATTTAAATAGAGCTTATATGCCTCAGGTGACAATAATGAAGTAAGAAATAATACTTTTTGACATAAAGGTGACATATTTAGATCAATGAGATATAACCATATTTAAACGTAAAGACAATTTAGAGCTAAATTGATCATTTATTGGAAAACATTTACTTATACGATATGAAAAGAAGAATATTCATAATAAGTAGATGAATCTGAGAATGACTAAAATGAGACCAACCAACCACAAATAAATATGAGAGGCATCATAGTACTTAAAGGCAATGGAAGTCTTATAAATTTCGATCTAATCAAAGTCAAGTTTCAAAAGAAGAAAGACACAAACTAGAAGGAGTATGAGATGAAACAAGCATAATGGATAGATTCTTAACGAGTGAATGAAGAGGACAAATGAACCCATGCTTCACTAGTCGGAAATAGCGCAGTTGAATTCGAAATGCACCAGAAGTAGTCAAGAAAATCCGAATTGTTAACATAATCTTATACTTAAAACTCAACGGCGAAGTTGGATCAAAACAAACAAGCAAAGCGAAGGCATAGATATGGCTCCAACATGTCACTCAAGGTAGGGAGGCAACAAAGAGATTCGATAAACCGAGAAAGCTAAGCCATCGGAATGAACATGAAATTACACTAAATACCATTTATCGCATCAGATCCAGGAGACATTTAGGTAATAACATGAAAAAAGAATCAAATCAGTCGGTAACCAAAGATTAAGGATAACTACAAATAAGACTATGATAGAAGAAATTTACGGAAGACTAAATAAAATGCACCTTGATACATAATACTCTAGCAGTAGACAGAGGATATGACATTTTAATGTTCAAGCCATATTAAGAAGCACATGAAAATCCAAAGAAGGTAGTCATTCGGGCAGTAACGAAGCAACACACACTATTTGCAAAGGGAGAACAAGAAGTAAGAATGAGAATGTTACCTATTCAGAGTGCAGCAAGCTGAATAACAACGAGCAGAACGACACCTTCACCGCGTTAGGAATCGAACACAAACAACAAGAAAGATGCTTGAGCGGAAATATCAACCCAAACACTAAAGAAAAATAAGTGCCTCCTCTCGTTTTCTTTGAAACGTATTTCTATATATATATTGCTGCTAATTGCTTTTCAATACCCTTTTTCTCTAAAAGTTTTCAACCCAAAAAAAACTCCTAAAAAATGACAAGAAAAGATGTATTTATAGGAAAAAAATCGGGTTCGGATTTGGATGAAGAACGGATAGGAACATGGCAAAATCGTAATTCCCCTTTCCATTCCTAAATTCAAAACTTCTCAAAGGACCAAGAAAAAGGCTGGTTTGTGCAATATTTCAACCAAATCCCACGAAATCCGGTTAGGGCAGCAACGTGAAATTGCAGGTCTGCTTCTACCGAAAGCACTGTACAAGAGCAGCACGGGACAGAGGAAGAAGATCACGCGCCATTGACGCTGTGAATGCTTTCCGTGTACTGTTTCGTATTTTTCACTCCATTTGGGAACGTTTGGGAGCTGTTGTGTATTGCTGCCCTGCTTACTGCGTGGCTGCCTGTTTGATAACGTGGAAATGGAAGGTAAAGGGGATAGGGTCGGTTTGGTGTATGTTGTTGTATGTATTATTTTATTGGGTTATTTGGTATTGTTTTGGGTTGTTTTGTATTGTTATTTTTTGGGTTGCAGGAAGTGGGCTGGAAAATGCAAAAGTGGGCAGCTGAAAGTTGGCCCAAATAAGAAAAGGGGTTAGATCTTTAAGAGATAAACATATTGAGTTTAATTTAGACGAATTAATATTATTTAATTAACGAGCTTCTTAATCTTAACGAAATATAATAATTACTTCTATTATAAAATAATTAATTACAAACTAATTAACTTGAAATTATAACTATAACTTAAAGTAAACTAATAAAATATTTAACTAAAAATGTAAAATCTTTGTGATGATTTTCAAATATTTATAAAATAACGTAATTGTAAAATATACATATTTATTATTTAAAATTATTAAAAATGATAAAATTACTCTAAAAATAACTTGAAAGTATTTTGAATTTCATAAAATTCATTAATTCAAAATTTTGACCCTTACTAATAAAGTATTTAAAATATAAAATCTTTTCGAGATGATTTTTGAATACTCATAAAATGCCTTAATTATATACATAACTATATAAAGCATATATATATATATATAGTGACAAAAATATTTAGAATAACTTGCAAACTATGTTTATTTTATTTTATTTTTGAATTATAAAACTAATTATTTTAAATCGCTAGAAATTGAAGAAGCTTGATGATTAATTTATATTGTGGAGGGACAAAATTAGGTGTCAACAAACAGGAGCAGTAACAAAAGGAAAAATAGTTTCATGAAAAAGAACATCCCTAGATACATGAATTCTTTTGGTAGCCAAGTCTAGGACCTTGTAACCTTTTGTATTGTAGGGATAGCCAACAAAAATGTGTGGTGTGGTTCTTGGTTCAAATTTATCCTTGTGGCTTTTCAAGGTGGTTGGAAAACAAAGGCATCCAAAGCTTCTAAGGTGGGAATAGGTTGGCCTTTTTTGATACAGTAACTCATATGGGGATTTGTTATGTAACAACTTTGTGGGCAGTCTATTGATGAGATATGTAGCAGTGAGGACACATTCTCCCCAATATCTTACGGGTAATTTTGATTGGAACAAGAGTGTCCTTGCTGTTTCAAGAAGATATTTATGTTTCCTTTCTACTACACCATTATGTTGAGGTGTATAAGGGCAGGATTTTTGGTGTATGATACCTTTTTCTTGGAAAAAACAAGTTGCTTCTGCATTTGTGAACTCCAAGCCATTATCAGATCTGATGGCTTTAAGTTTAGTTTGGAATTGAGTTTCTATGAGAGTTACAAAAGCTTTTACGGTTTGTAATGCATTGCTTTTACACCTAAGTAATTATGTCCAAGTAGACCTGCTATGATCATCTACCATAGTGAGGAAGTAATGATAACCATCATGAGTGGGCACATGATATGGTCCCCATAGGTCAATGTGAAGTAGTTCAAATACCTTGGTGGTTGTGGTAGTGCTGTCAGGGAAGGGCATTCTGGTTTGTCTAGCCATAGGGCATATGGCACAAGTAAAAGGCTGTTTGTTTGAAAAATGTATTGGTATGGTAGAGATACCTCTCATCTTTACAAAAGGCACATGTCCTAGTCTAGTATGCCACAAGAATTCACTACCTTGAGCATGAGTATGAACAGAATTAACAGCAAAAGAAGAAAAACTATTAACAGACCTTGAAGGAAAACCAACAGTACAAACTTCTTTATTGAAAACATGAGAACATTTTACATTAGTTGGTGCTGAAGTTTGACATTCAGTCCCAGTTAAGACTTGTTTATTTTGAACTGAAGAAGGAACATGCTGGTAATTGGAAAAACAATCAGTAGAACAACAAATGACATGAGATAAACCACCAGAAGTTGGTCCACAGCTGTGGCATTTTGGACAGAAAAAGTACAGTCCATTCCTAGCTCTACCAAGTGCCAGAGGGCTCTTCAGAGAAGGGCCCTGCAATAGACAAGAAAAGCTGTCAAAACTGACTGTTCCTTTGAGCTGGAGTGCCAAACAATGAACTGTAATTAAGTTGAATTTGAAACTAGGTATGAATAAAACTTTGTACAGAGTTAAAGTTGAACTCAAACAAACATCACCAATTTCAGTTACTTTGACCTTGTATCCATTTGGTAAGGTGATCAAGGAGGGATAAGGTAGTGTCCTGAGGTTAGTGAGGGCATTTTTGGTGTAAGTCATGTGATGTGATGCTCCTGAATCTATGATCCAAGAATTAGCAACTAATCTAGCACATTTACATGACAAATTACCTATCTCAGTAATTGAAGAATAACAAGCCAATATACCTGCTAGGTTCACTGCTCCACTAAGCATATCTCCTGAGCCATCAGTCCCATTTCCAGCCTGCAGAGATCCTAGGAGATTGAGTAGCTGCTCATATTGGCCTTTGGACAGATTCACTGGCATTTGCTTCATTGACTCATCAAGTACCTCATTTCGGTTCATGTCTTCCTCAGAACTGTACACATTTGCTGCAGACCCTGAGCTTCTTCCTTTGAAAGGTCTAGAATTGGATGGGTAACCATGAAGCTTATAACACCTATCCTTGATATGTCCAGTACGTTTGCAAAAGTCACAAAATAAATTTGATTTGTTACTAGTTCTGGAGTTGCCTCTGAAAACAGTGTTGGTGTTGGGATTGGAGCTGCTAGCACCTCATTTTGAGGAGGTGTAGCTGGTCCTAAAACCTTTGGATCCTGCAGCAACATTAGATGAAACAGAGGCATTCAATGAAGTGGATTCCAAAATAGTGTGATTGTGAGGCCTGACTTCCCTTTGTCTTTCCTCTTGTGATAATATGGCAAAAGCTTGTGCCATGCTAGGCAATGTAGACATCATGAGGATGCTTCCTCTCACAACAGTGTACATTTCATTCAAGCCCATCAAAAAATGCACCAGTCTCCTATCCTGTTCAGCTTGGTGCATTTTGGCTTTACCACCACAAACACACACACAACTACATTGAGAGTGAACATCAAGAGTGCTCATTTCCTCCCATAATTTCTTCATCTTCGTGTAATAACCAGTGACATCCAAAGTCCCTTGTACAAGATCATTGATCTCCTTTTGCAACTGATAGAGTTTACAACCATTAGTCTGGTCATATCTATCTTCCAGTTCATCCCAGAGTTCCTTGGCATTGTTAAGGATCCATGAAGTCACCATATCATCACACCTCTCCCATTGCATGAAAGAAGGATCTGTAGAAGCCGGCTTAACAACTTTGCCAGTGATGAAACCAGTCTTACTTTTAACAGATAGAGCCCTGAGAACAGCTCGTCTCCAAGATCTGTACCCAGTTCCGTCAAAAACAACTAGTAATAATGTTGAACTTGCATTCTCAGAAGGATGCAAGTAGAGTGGACTACCGAAATCCAATTGAGCAGGAACAGCAGGTGCATCTCCCATGGATGAAGATTGGAGAGTAATTGGAAATAATCCGAGAAGAGAAAGAAGAACAAATAGCAGGGGAACAAAAAATCACAAAATCCCTAAATCATAGTCGTGAAATCGAACTGAGAATCGAAGGATACGCAATACTCACGAAACAATGTGGATGCGAAAAGTAGGAATCATCCCCTATGCTCTGATACCATGACAAAATCAACAGCATAGACTAGAAAACATCAGGCTTCCTCCATTGATGGAGGTTTGAAGCTCATGAGAGAATATTCAGAGAGAGAGAAAGTGGAAAGATATTATTGAGAATCAAAAACTGAAAATAAACAATACAGGGTATTGTGTATATATATACACATTGTTCAACTAACCAACTTGTTCTGACACAATAACAAACTTAACCAATTGATTTTGTGAACTCAACTAATTCTATGGACTTTAAAGCTAAATGTGATGAATTAAACTAATTACAAACTAATTGAAACTAATTGTAATCTCATCAGAGTTGCCCAGTTGTCCTTTAGTCCGGTGTTTATGATGACATAATATGGAACCTCCAATGTGTCAGGGGAGGGGGGGTCAACTAGGACATAGCTAGCAGCATATGAGCCGACTCGGCATCATCGATTTTGTGCCGCAATGGAGTAATTCAATATGTGGTTTTGCACGTTCCATCACTTCTCCTTTCATTTCCAATATTGATCGTGAAACATCATGAGTAGCAGGATGTTAAGGTCCAAAATTCAAAGTGAAAATTTTGAATTGCATGTTCTTAGTCGTCATGGAAAAGAAATACAGAAATAAGAAAAAGATTATTCAGATATCCATAACTACAATAAGAAAATATTAGAATTCATTGATATTCGCCAAATAGTTGGTAACTAACATATTTTTTTTTTTGATAATTTACTATTAAATGGATTAACAACGATTTTTGATGTTTAATTATAAAATTTATCTGTTGGTAATTCTTAAAATATTATTTTAGTGACCGTTAAAATAGCACAAAAGGAGTATTTACATATAACCATGTTGAAAGAAGTGTAAAATTGAAAATATGAGAATACAAGCTACTAGAAAATCTTGATAGCTCAGTTGATTTACTATATGAATTTTTATTTTATTAATGAGAGTTCGATATCCCATCTTCGTGCCTTCTTCTCCCATCCCCATTTTTTATTTTTTCACCTTTTTTAAAAATAAAAATAAAAAGTGAATACGAGCTACTTCTTGGTCATCGTGAATTGTCAAATGGGGCCAAAAATTGGGACAAAATATTGTATTTTTTGGAAGATTCTAAAATCTTTTTTGCTCACAAAATAGAAAACATCATTAATTCCTCCTAATATTTTGGTTATTTCTTTTTGCATTAACTCCTAAAGTAGGAATAGTATTTTTTAATTTTAACGGTGTATTTTATATTTTTGCTTCATATTTTTTAAAAGAACCAAATTATAGATTAAAATTAAGTTTCACCATTTTTTAACTAGAGATTTTGACTTTGAGAGTAAAAGAAAATCTTATTAAAAAGTATTTTCTACTTTAATCGACTTGGCATATCTCAAAATTCAATACAGATTCCCATCAAACACCAAATCAAAGGAAATTGGACCCCCAAAAATTTTAGGACTCGAAAACCCAAGGTTTGATGACTTGATCCTCTAGTCGACCCTGATATTTTCCCCCTCTTGCTTGTTTACCCACATGTATCAACAAGCTAATACAATATAATACATATATAGGGATCGAACACATATATCATGGAGTGATAAATATTACTTTTTTATTCTTAACTAAAGATGGATCTCGTCTTCAATCGGGCCCTAGACCTCAATAGCCTTTGGTAAGAGTGTTTTACCTCTAATATATAATATTTCAACCAAATTAATTCAAATTTAATCGATCCTTAATACAGATACCAAACATCACACGGAAAACAAAAAATAACATTTCTAATTTAAAAAATAATGCTGTTTTTCCAGGCTACATTTTGGCAGCTTCTATTTGTCTTGTAAAAATACCATAGTAAATGTTCAGTTTGATGTAGATGGAACATCCATTATTGGGACCTCACAAAGACCAAATCAAACATGAAATTTTGAAAAAAAAGGTTACAGTAGTTTTTTTTTTTTTTTTGGATATGTATAAAATTAAGTCAATATATATATCTTCAAGATTAAGGTACTAAATTAAGTACACATATATAATTAAATAGTTCTTTTAGACTATTTAAAATCTTTATTATAAAGGACATTCACAAATCAAACAAAATATATTAAAGACAACTTAATTCAATTATGCAAAATCTTCTAAAGTTTATATGATGAATGTGTGCTTTAAATTATGTAAAAAAAAAATTAAAAAAATAAAATAAAATATATATATATATATATATATATATATATGTAATTAGTGATCAGTTGTATTAATCTTAAAAATTAAACTCATAAAATTTAAAATTTAAGAAATTAAACTCTAAACTTATTTATCATATCGAAGATGTAATGCTTAGTGATATTAAAAATTGAACTCATCAAATTTAAATTCATATGTTATGGTGTCTAGGCTACCACTCACTTGAAACGTAACTCAACTAACAAAAAAATATTCAGTAGAATATATTTCATTTTCACTTTTACTTGTCACATTTTGCTTCACAAAAGTCAATTTGATTAATCATTGGAGTTACTTTGAATTAGATTAATTCAATATTTAAATTTTAAATTTAGATGTTTGAAAACTATACGAAATATATTATGAATTATAATCTTTCTCATGTCAATATAATTAAAAATACATCTTAAAATATTAATCAAGCTTCATACAAATAGACAAAACCACCCATGATTTTAATTCACACTATATATTATAATTAATAATAATTATGGAATCATATCAACTCATTAAACTTTTTTCTCTTATCATAGGCAGCTACTTTTTTGTACATGGGCCACTTTTTTGACAAGACACAGACAAAACTCAAATGTAACATTATTTTTAATAAAAAAAAAAATTATATAAAAAAACATGATCTGTAGCAAAGAAAATCTGACACAACTGTATTTTATGGGTGTCTCCAACTTTTTTATCTCTGAATCACTGCATTAAAAAATATAATTCAAGAATCACAAGACATGAATTTTCATCAAACATCCTTTGTGTTCACATCTACATTTAAATTTTAAAAATCAACTAAAAAAAAAGAAAGTATTTAAAAGTTAGAGTTATGTTTTTGAGGATGTATTTCACTTTGAAAAAAAGAGTTGAAATTCGGTAAGTTGAAAAAAGATTTTAGTAAAAAAGTGGTCAAATCGAATTTTTCAAATCTGAAAATTCATTCGTTACTCATACCTCTATTGAAACAGAAGGGTTTCACATGTTCTTCATCAATAATGATTATTCCTTTTCGTTCATAACTCTTTTTAAAATTTCAATTTCGATTAGATCACAAATTTGAAAAACCCTTAAATTGTCTATTTTCCAAAAATGTTGAGTAGGGTATTGAAAAACTAACCAAAAAATTATTCAAATATATAACCAGATGATCATTCAAATATTTTAATAAGATTTCATCATGAACATTAACAACATCAAGGGGGAATATATACAATCCACTTTTATTTATTAAAAAACATTAATACCATATAATAGAAACATAAGAGAACAAACTAATAATTTCCCATGTATAGCATACTAACATTTTTTTTTGTGATAAAACAAAGAAGAAAAAAGAAAATCATAATCATAATTATTATAATATTAATAATACCAAATTGCTCAATAAGATGCAATTAATTTTTCATTTGTTGGACTCCGGATTTGCACCACTAGGAACCTCATGAAGAGCCTCTCCATAATATTTTCGACTCGGCGTACCGGTCCCACCGGTACTAACTGTAGTCGTGGTCATGGTTGTGGTCGTGGTCATGGTCGTGTCAATATCAGTATCAGTAGGAGTTGATTGTTTGTGATGGACTTGCATGGTGACCAATTTTCCACTAGATGGAAAAATATTCATGAGTAGCCAAATGAAGAGAAGAAGATAAAAAAGAGTTTTGGATTGAGTTGTTTTTGCCATGAAGAAAGAAATAGTTGAATAATATTAATCGAGAATAATAATAATAACCACCCCCAATAACCCTAGGGAGATCAATATCCATGAACCAAATGGAACCACTAATAATATAAGAAATTTTACAAACTAAATATAGAAGAGAATTTTTTTTAATAATCTATACTAAGAGAAGAAGTTTTTCTCAATTTTCAACAAACAATAAATGTTATATGACTTATAAAGAAGAGTATTTACAAAAAGGAGATGCATATAAATATGGGAAATCTTGTAAAGTATGATATTCTCTTTCATTTTAATTCCCATGTTGCCCTTCTTGTTTATCTAATTTTACAAAAGATAACCCCTCTTTGTGAATGGAAAAAATAATAATAATAAGGCCAAGTTTTCATACATGTGACCTCCTTTGAAGAAAAGCCAAGTCAATTCTCATATATGTGAGGATGAAATTAATGGAAGGATTTAAGTTATATACATCCACATAAGTTTATATATATTATCGGAATAATGGAATTTTTACATAAATAGTCAAATGGATTAATTATTTTTAGTTAATATATATAAAAACTTATGTCAATTATTGATAATTAATTTTTAATAAATAGTAAATAACCTATTAAATTAAATTAAATTATTTGTGATTATCTTTTAAATAATCTGATTATGTAAATATTTCACCGTCAGCACACTAAACTTATACTCATGAAGAAGTTATGAGTTTAACTTTTATACACTAACATTGATATGATCGTACTAACATTAATACTTGTATTCCATTAGAGCTATAAAGTTAAGTGTGTTAGACAAAAGTACTAATACTAGGATGATGGGGTGGCCTTCTAAGAATTTTTCGTGTTGCATCTCTTCTTTTTAAGCTAAAAATTTATTGAAAATAATTTCTCTATTCAAAAAATAAGAGTAACATCGCGTACACTCT